GGGACAGAAGCAGAAAAATCTTCACCTTTGGCCCAGAAGGCTGACCTACAGCCTGCACAGTCTCAATAAAGATCAAATACATGCTGGTTGCTACATTATTTAAGGGTCTCATGACTGTCTGTAAATCTTGCCAATAGTTAACACTGAACTGAATGATAAGTACTAGGGAAATCTTGAGGTGTAATTTTACGAGTAGAAATTCAAAGAAGACATTCATGATCTAATATGCCCTGCACATCCCCTCCCTGTTGAACACTAAGCATATAACCACCAGCTTTATACAGCAAAAGCATAGCTCCTTCTGCCCATAGGTCCTGTCTCAGTGCTACTTAAATAAGAGACCGAAGATGTCTCAAGACTTCTTTCTGGATTGTTGTGTTCAACAGTTCCACAACAACATGGTTGTCAGCCTAGACGTGGTATGATCATGGTTTGGTGTTCCCATCACTTTCTATCTATAAACAACATTCTTGCTTGCTCCATCATAAATTTCACTTAGTCTATCTTGCTTTACATCTTTCAGGTTACTTAGTATCTATTTTTTAGCACATCTTATGAGCTCTGCCTACTTCTCACAATCTACTTGCTTTCTCATTATTCATACTTTACCATATCCTATGGGATTCATCCATCCCATTCTCTTCTCTCTAGCAGAACTGATTTTCTGTAAGAACACAGCAAATTAGCATTACTTTAACAAACATTTAAATAGTTTTCTTCGGGGCACCTGGGTGGCTCAGTGGGTTAAAGCCTCTGCCTTCAGCTCAGGTCATGATCCCAGAGTCCTGGGATCGGGCCCCACATCGGGCTCTCTGCTCTGCGGGGAGCCTGCTTCCTCCTCTCTCTCTCTCTGCCTGCCTCTCTGCCTACTTGTGATCTCTGTCTGTCAAATAAATAAATAAAATCTTAAAAAAATAAAATAAATTGTTTTCTTCATCTATTCAGTGAAATGTATTGATATTAGGAAGTCTGTATTATTTTACTCTTTTCACCTTACCTTTTCTTACTTTCAGTTTTGATCATTTTGAAAAGACAAAAGGGATGTTTGAGCAAATTCCCCAAATAAATCACACTTATTCAGTTTTCTATGCATTTCCATTTGATAATGACATATAGGCTATGAAATATATCTCTTCTTACTTTATATTTAGGAAACCAATGCTTTAAAAAATCTATATACCCTTTAAAAAATCTATTGACAAGTGATAAGAAAAACAATCTTCATCTCTGTTTCTTATGTAGTCCATGTATTTGACACACAGGCTTATTAAATATTCTCTTGTGCCATAGCTATACCACATCTTAGCAACTGAGCACACACACAAAAAAAATACAGACTGGGAAACTTTCTGTACCTAATAACCATTAATGAATTTCTAACAACAATGTAGATGCAGAATTCTAACTGGCAGTCTATTTCTCCCCAACATAGCTACCCACAACCAATCTTTCCAAGAAAGCTCAGATAAGTTAGAGAGAGTTAGCTCTAATCAGTAGGTTCACCAATAAACATCTATTGAGTATGTTCTTTACAAGGCACTGACAGACAGCAGAAGTTATTAGCAGATTCTGACATTCATTTTACCTCTAGAGCTTTCCTAAAAAGTTCTACTAACCAAATGTTGTATTTTTTAAAAAGTCATTTGGAGACTTTTCATCTTAAGAGAATTTTTCTCTTACTTAATTATAAATTCATAAATTTATAAAATGTACAAGAAAGAAGGCATGTTTGGATAAAAGAGACAAAAACATCAATATGCCTGGACAACTGGGTTTATAAAGGAGAGCAGAATGAAGCTGGGCAGGGTGGCAGAGTATTGCTCAGCATATAATGCTAAGTGGCGTAGATTTTTATCCTCTTGAACCTAGTGCTATCCAGTATGGTAGACAATAGCCAAATATGATTAATTAAATTTAATTAACTAAATCAAATAAAAATTCAGTTTCTTGGGTATGTCAGCCAGGTTTCAAATCCTCAGTGGATACATAATGGCCAGTGGCAACAATATTGGTTAGTGAAGGAGCACATTTCCATTATTCTAGGAAGTTCTGTTGGACAGTGCTGCCCTATAGACATTGAGGAAATGTAAAAATTTTGAGCAGAGTTGGAAATTATAAAATTCTAATTTTCCAAGGATCTCTAGGAAGAACTGAAAAATGGTAGCACAATTAGGATATGAACCAGAATGCACATCATACTCAGACTGGGGTTGCAGAAATGAAAACTAGTATGTGTGTTTGTGTTACGGTTGGGGTCAGGGAAAGAACTATAGTAACGAAGTAGATATGGAGGGTGAAGGAAAGACAGAGTGCTTCTTATTTAGGAAAATGGGTGGGTATTAATCCTATTCTCTGAAATAGGAAACTGTAAAGGAGTGGAATATATATATATATATATATATATATATATATATATTTGAGAGGACAGGGGTGGATGATTAATCTAGATTATATCCCTGTTAAGTTTGAGATTGTGAGGGGCATTTTAATAAGATATACAATAGGCAGTTAGATATATAAATTTTGAAGTCATTCTCAAGGAGCTTAGGAGATACACAAAACATTACATGGATTTCTCATTACTTCCTTAAAATCAGTATCTAGAAGTGAAATTTTTTTCAAACAGTATGAATTATATGTGGAGACTTTCCAGATTTTTTCTTCCTCCTTTCCCCACAACACACACTCCCTGGTGACTCTTACATTGCCATGATGAACAGATGTTATGCACAGGCATGTACAGTACTCTACAGATGAACTGATGGGGTCTGGTGTTTTATAATGCATTGGTTGGGAGACAGATTTCAGAGTTATAACACTTTCTTTGTAAAAACAACAACCTTCCTCCAGATTCCAATGATTTTGTAAATACTATAAAGTAGAACACATTTGCATCTTTATTAGTTTGGTTGCCAGGCAATAAAACAGAAATCACTAAAAAAGTTCTAAACAGCATTTGCTATGGGGAAATGTTGACATAGGTGTTGAAGGCTAGAAGAGCAAAACAGGAAGGTAAGATTAAATTAGAAATTCCTAATGCTGGAAGTGGCTACCAGTCCTAGAGCTGGTAGAACAGAGGGTGGGAGTGGTATTATCAAAGTCTGAGAGCAAACTCACTGCTGGGGATGCTACATGAGGATAGGAAAAGGGAAGGCAGGACCACTGGAGGGGCTGCTGCAATTGGCTCTGGGACTTTTAAAGGGCACAGATGTCTCCCTGGATACCAGATGCAGAGAGTGAGAGAAAAGAACAACAGCTTTCCCGTGTTCCACCTTACGATTTTCTGCTTGTGTTTCTTCCTGGGAGAATCATACAGAAAGCCATTTGACAAGGAAGGCTGAGAAATGTAGTCTATAGACTCTCAGGCCAACTATCACCACAGAGAGGAGTTTAGGAGAGTGTGGGGCTCAAAGACCACAGGCAAATAACCTAACCACGCTTTACCAGAAGGAAAAAAAAAAGTAAACTACAGAAAAAACAAAAACAAAAAAACCTTACTTATTTGGTTTCTAGTCTTTGACAGACTTGATAAACTCTAAGGTTCTATCACAGTAACTGTCATTTAAAATGCTCAATAAATATCCATAAATATTTGAATGAACAAATGCCTATCCCTATCCTGATAAATAGTTCAGCTCAGTACTCAACTTACATGATTGGCAGGAGATGCAACTGATTTTTAACGAAACACTTGAATTCATATGTACAAGTTAGTATTATCTTTTAAAATTTTGCCCCTTTGAAAGTTAGCATACTTTCAAACAGTGCTGTCATTACTCAAGGGATATTTAGAACTCCTTTGAAATTGCCTTTCAGAGCTAGTTCTTGAGAAATACATGATAATTAGGAGAATGTATCCCTACCCACTTTTGGCCTAGTCTGAGTCACCTGGTTTTGATCTGGAAGATTTATTTGGTTTCAAAAATGAAATCCACTCTCAAAGAATAAAGACTTGTTACTAATGTTGGTAAGTACTTGCCACAATTTCCAATTAAACTTGAGGCAACATGATGTCTCAGCCTACTTCTGCTACTTTGAATTTGGAATAAGACAACAAATGTGGTGGATAATAATAGTAGTAACTTAAAATTGGTCTTTATTGCCTTTCTATGAAGAGAGGAGAATCATCATTGTGCCCTGCTCACCCACACCCTCCCTAATTTCAGTAAGCTCTTTCCATATCCCAGGGTTATTTCCAGCTAAGACAAATGTATAAGCACAAATGTATAAAAACAAAAAGTGCCGCTAGGCTCTGACGTCTAGGACATGAACCAAGACCACGTTTTACTATCACCCCCTTCCCTAAAGGGAAAAATCCACATACTTTTCAGCTTGCCATATCCATACAGCATTCTGGTAAAACAGGAAACTTCTCAAGGGCTAGTGAAGTGTGGAGCACAGACAGATGCAATGTACTCTGCCTGAAGGGAAACCTAAGTAATAATAAGAATCTTAATAAGCACCTCCATGACACTATGTGCCAGGCTCGTTTATTCTTTGTCAGTTCTGTGAGGTAGGCACTTCTATAACTCCCATTTTACAAATGAGAAAGCCGGGGCTCACGGAGGTGATTAACTAGCCAAGACTACTTATTCTTGAAGGATAGTCCAGGGTTCAAACCTGACACTCCGGTTCGAGTTCGTGCTTTCAGTGAAGAACTGCTATCTGGCAAATTTTAAACCGTCAGTACCGGCAACTGGGGAACTAATGGAAAAGGGAATCAACAAAACGGTCCACACCTCGTAAACAGTGCTGATACACCAAAGAAGCCTGATGTCCCAAGGGAGGGCAAACGAGAGACCCGGAGGTGGACCCACCCTGGAGCGGCTCTGACCGACGCAGTCGCAGGCGACAGAGCTTCCAAGACCGATCCGCCGCCACGACATCCCTCATCGCGTCTCTTCCTGGCAGCGTCAAATCGCGGGCGTCCAGAAGGAGGTGGGACTTCCGGGCTCGGTGGAGCCAATACCGGCCGCGCCGGAAGTGCCTATTGAGGAAAGGGTGAGGGATACCGGGTGCCTGAAGATCCCGGTGAATCTTGTGTTTCACAGACTCAGAAGAAAAGTCGGGTGGTTTTTCATCCGCTAATAGTCAGGTTTTGGGGGCAGTGGGAAGCAGGAGTTGGGACATGGACAGCCGCTTGCAGGAGATCCGGGAGCGGCAGAAGTTACGGCGACAGCTCCTTGCACAGCAGGTCCGCGGCCCAGGGAGGAATTGAGAATGCGCGTGCGCGGTTCCCTTCTCTTCCTCCTCCTCCTCTTTCTTTTCTGTCTTTGCCTATGCATTGCGGTGCTTACTTCCCTGGTTCCGCAACCCTGATCCCTAGGCCTACCTGCCTTTCTTGCTCTTAACTGCCGCAGAACCCTGAATATTCTTCATCTGTGCCGCGGTCATTATGTTGCTAAACCGAACGTCACGATTGGTCCTCAGCAACCATTATGGAATGCGCGCCAAGTGTCTGGCGCAGGGCTCAATGATGGAGATACAAAGCTTTGGTCTTTGTAAATAAATTACCGTAGTTCGCGCCAGGAAAAGTGATTTGTTATCCTTTAAGTTTCTCTAAACTACTTAAATGGTCGTCTGTGTCAGGCCTTTCTTCTTAGTTCCTAGTTCTTGAGATTGTGGCTTCCTTGTGAAATAGATTTATAGTGTTTTCTTTGGGATCATATGTAAAGACTGCATTAGAAGTAGCCTGAGTGTAAGTTTTAGTTTGTACATCTTGTGTGTTGCTAAGTACTGTATCTTCGTCATCACCCACCGCTAATATTTGAATTCTCATTCTGTTTAAGCCACAGTAAACACTTGGAATAGATATCATTGACTTCCCTTACCAAATAATGAAACAGGCTAAAAGGTTAGGTAGTTTTTGCCCCGTGTCACTCACCGCTAGGCCAGAAAATTGAACCCAGGTGCGTCTCTCCAAAGCTCGTGTGTAAATTAACACTTGATCAGGAGAGTACATATGCAGAAAATGCAGATGTACACCTCTACTTAGAGTCAGAGTTTGTGTTTCCCATCCTACCATTCATATCACTAAAAGTGATGGAGGAAATACTACGAGGTTTTAATGAGGCATCTTACTGTTATTTTTCAGTAATGAATCTTGCTTTTAGTAAATGAAAATTTGAAACCTATACTCTTATGATCTGATGAAAAGGTTTATGGTGTATATATATATATTAAATATATAGGGTTATAATATACATAACCATATATGGTATATATATACCATATATGGTTATGGTGTATAAAACCATATATGGTTATGGTATTTATAGTCATATATGTTTATGGTATATATAGTGTTAAAAATGTGGGAATTTGGAATCAGACCTGTTCTGTCCCTCTAGCATTATGATTTGGGACAAATCAGGTATCTTTTCCAAGCCTTCTTTCTTGTACTTTCTTTTATTGTGTTGGCTTCAGAATATTCAGTAGCTTTGTTACCACCAAGTAAGGTTCTTATTTTTTAGTTTTTTTAGATTTTAGTTTTAGTTTAGTTTTCGACTCAAAATGCATTCATAAATGGTTACTTTTGCGTCTTATTATAAACGAGGGGATCTAGTAAGCCCCTGGCAATTCAACTATAAATAAAAAGTGGTCCTTACCCTAAAAAGGCTTGCATAGTGCGAAAAATTTAATGATGGGTGCCTTTATTAAGTACCTTTAATGAATCAAGACTCTGCTAAGCTTTTTTATATACATTATCTTCAGTCCTGCAAGTCAGATGCTATTTGCATCTTATAGATGAAGAAAATAGAGCTCAAAGAGTTTAAGTTACATGCTGAAGTCCACAAAGTTTATAAGGTTGCAAGCTTGTAGTTTTAGGCTTTTCCATGCTCTTTCCAGTACGCTAGCTGCTCCCTAGTCTTCTAGTTGGTTAGGAACTATTTCCACTTAAGTAAGAATGTCTGATGTAATCAATGACAGACCTCCACTTTAGCAACTAATTTCAGCCTTTCTTTTCAATTGTTTTCTCTATTTGAACAACACAGATTACTCTCCAGAATGTGGTTGTGCAATTTATACTTCATGATTTTTTAAAAATTGTACTTCCTTTTTTTTGCTTTTATCATTTATTTATTTATTTATCATTTTTTTTTATTTTTTTAAGATTTTGTTTATTTATTTGACAGAGAACACAAGTAGGCAGAGAGGCAGGCAGAGAGAGAGGGGGGGAAGCAGGCTCCCTGCCAAGCAGAGAGCCTGATGCAGGGCTTGGTCCCAAGACCCTGGGATCATGACCTGAGCCAAAGGCAGAGGCTTTAACCCACTGAGCCACCCAGGCGCCCCTTGTTTATTTTTTTAAAGAAAATTTATTTTTTTTTCAGTGTTCCAAAATTCATTGTTTATGCACCACACTCAGTGCTCCATGCAATACGTGCCCAGGTTTACCGAACCCCCCACCCCTCCCCTCTAAAACCCTCAGATTGTTTCTCAGAGTCCACAGTCTCTCATGGTTTGTCTCCCCCTCTGATTTCGCCCAACTCACTTCTCTCCATCTCCCAATGTCCTCCATGTTATTCCTTATGCTCCACAAGTAAGTGAAAACATATGATAATTGACTCTGTCTGTTTGGCTTATTTCACTCAGCATAATCTCTTCCAGTCTCTTCCATGTTGATACAAAAGTTGGGTATTCATCCTTTCTGATGGAGCTATAATACTCCATTGTATATATGGACCATATCTTCTTTTTTTTTTTTTCCTTAAGATTTTATTTATTTATTTGACAGACAGAGATTGCAAGTAGGCAGAGAGGCAGGCAGAGAGAGAGGAGGAAGCAGGCTCCCTGCTGAACAGAGAGCCCAATGTGGGGCTTGATCGCAGGACTCTGAGATCATGACCTGAGCCGAAGGCAGAGGCCTTAACCCACTGAGCTACCCAGGTGCCCCTGGACCATATCTTCTTTATCCATTTGTCTGTTGAAGGGCATCTTGGTTCTTTCCACAGTTTGGCTACTGTGGCCATTGCTGCTATGAACATTGGGATATATATGGCTCTTCTTTTTACTACATCTGTATCTTTGGGGTAAATACCCAGTAGAGCAATTGCAGGGTCATAGGGTAGCTCTATTTTTAATTTCTTAAGGAATCTCCACGCTGTTTTCCAAAGTGGCTGCACCAACTTGCATTCTGTCCTCCTCCCTTTCTGATTTCTGTGCATCTTCTGTAGCACAGCTCAGGTCAGAACATTGTAATGAAAACTGTCTTGATCTCTCTGGCTAAGGGTCTTCTTCCAGCTGGTTTTCGTTGTCCTTACTGTTGAGTACACTACTTAACATTACTTATTGTTATACAGAATATAAATGTCAGCAGCTTACACCTGCTTTTTACTTAGCTATAGCTTTGTTCCCCAAAAAATAGTATATGCTTTTAAATGATACCAAATTGTCGAAATTATTAAAATAACATATGTAGTGCTTCCATAACAGAAAATCTATGATTTACTTATTCCAGTCATTCCACAGTTTTGTTTTTTGTTTTTGGAGCATGTGAGGATAATTATATATGTGAGCAGAATTTCAACTTAAAGCATTTCTATTGTAATACATTGTATTCTAATGTAGTAGGAAATCTGATTGGATCATTCAAATATTGAACATCTACTCTGAGTCAGGCATTATACAAGCTGCTGAACATACAGATACCAAGAGGACAGAGTTCATCTGCTTAGAGAACTTAGATGTAACTTGCAGAGCAGTAAACAAAAGTAAAGATAAAATAATTTAAGTGTAAAATCAGAAGTCGTGATAAAGACCTTGAAACAATATAAACAGGAAGTAAACAAAAGTAAGACCTAAAATAATTGAAAGTTGTGTTAAGTACTATGATCCAAATAAGGAAATAAAAAGGAGAAAAGTGGAAGGAGGCTACCTATTCTATGTACTCCTTAAGGAAATCACTTGTCCTCATCTGAGACCTGAAGAGAGAGGAGTCAGTCATGGGAAGATTAGAAATCATTTTAACTATGGGAAGTAGATGTGTCTTTTAACTAATGAGAATAGGATTCAGGAATATTTTATGGGAGAGTTAAAATGTCAGGAACATTTGATATATAGTAAGAGATCTGTCATTGAGAAACCTTAGGGGAGTCATGAAGTAGGCAGACTAAAAAGGCAGTGGTGATTGCTTAAGATCAAGGCTAGGGACTTGTAGCTCTGATATTTTAGTATATTCCCTTTCCTGAGCTAAAGAGACTATTTAATGCAGATTTCCCCATGCCCTGCTTAAAAATGTAAAATTGTCCCTTTATATAAAATATAAAATTGTCCCTCATGGCCTCATGTCCCTCAGTTGTTCATTTGGCTTTTATTTATTTATTTTTTTTTAAGATTTTATTTATTTGACAGAGATCACAAGTAGGCAGAAAGATAGGCAGAGAAAGAGGCGGAAGCAGGCTCCCTGCTGAGCAGAGAGCCCGATGTGGGGCTAGATCCCAGGACCCTGAGACCATGACCCAAGTCAAAGGCAGTGGCTTAACCCACTGAGCCACCCAGGCGCCCCTTCATTTGGCTTTTAAAGATGTCCATGAATTGGGTGCCTGGGTTGCTCCGATGGTTAAGCATGTGCCTTTGGCTCAGGTCATGATCCCGGGGTCCTGAGATTGAGTACCACATCAGGCTCCCTGCTCAGTGGGGAGCCTGCTTCCCCCCCATCTATCTCCCCCTTCTTGTGCTCTTTCTCTCACTCTCAAATAAATAAATAAAATCTTAAAAAAAAAAAGATGTTCATGAATTGATCCCATTTTGTGTAGCCAGTTTATCTCAACTAGTTGTTTGTTGTATTTTGCAGAATTTCCCTGACTGCCAAACAGAATTTGCATTGCCATTTTTTAGGTATTATTAAAATTCAGTGTTGTGCCTATAAATCATCATATAAAGACTTGGCTTGAATAAAACTGGATAAATATTTATTACAGCACAAGATAAATAAGGTGTAATATAGGAGCTGATGGATACAAAGTGTTAATGCCTACCACTCTATATACACTATATGTGAGCTGCTTTTTTTTTTGCTACTACTACTAAATTATGTTTTATTATTTACTTGAAAAGTAGAGGATGGCTAAAATTGTCTTAATTTCAAATACAACTGAAAGTATAAAATGCTTGCTAGCTCTCAGATTTGTTCCTAATTAACATGGTTTTGTTCCAAGTTATTTCCTGTTTTTCCTGCAAGGTAATTAATCCACTTGCCTGCTGAAGGAGTTAGAGTTTGTTTGTTTGTTTGTTTGTTTGTTTTCAAATACCTGATATATTCAGTGTTGCTACTCAGGCAGGAAAGGCTATCCAGTGCATTATGATCTAATTTTTGGTTTTTGTCTTTTCTCAGTTGGGAGCAGAAAGTGCCGATAGCATTGGTGCTGTGTTAAATAGCAAAGATGAGCAGAGAGAAATTGCTGAAACAAGAGAAACTTGCAGGTCAGTTGAATCATTTTTTTTTTTTTTAAGCGACATGTTAATATTGTGAAAGGGTTATTGTTTGCTTTTTTAAAAAAAATTATTAGAGGGTGAGCATTAGTGGGCTGGGGGGCAGAAGGAAAGGGACAAGCAGACTCCCCGCTGAGCAGGGAAACCCCCCCCCATTATGGGGCTTAATCCCAAGACCCCAGATCATGACCTGAGCCAAAGGCAGACGCTTAACTGCTTGAGCCACCAAGGCGCCCCTGGTTATTGTTTTGACAAACAAATAATCCTAGGTATGAAGTGTGTTATGACAAGCATCAAAGTAAAGATTTCAGAAATACTGATTTTTGGTTTTTAGTATTCATGAACTATGAAACACTTTCTGAATATAGTACTCATTCATAAAGTAGTTAGAATGGAATTTTAGACTAAGAATTAGCTTATACGCCATGGATTAAATAGTTATATTTATAAATTCTTATAAAGAAAAATATACTTTACCCTAAAAGTGGTATTCATTTGGTAGTTCATAAAGCACTTCAGAATTTTTCACTATTCTGGTTATTAATTTGAATATCAATTTTGCTTAAGACAATTCAGAATGATATATAATATAGAAGTTTCTTTTTGCCGTACATCCATTATAAAAGCTTATTTTCTGATTTGGTTGCTTTCTCATAAAAGTAAAATACAGAATTGACAATCAGGTTGCGTGATTTTTTTTTTTAATTTATAAACTAGATGAATGAATAAATACTGTTTAATCAGAAAAAATGTGCCTTGTTCTGTTTTTATAAACTGTTATTTAATATTATTAATAGCTGCCATTTATACATCTTTCTATATCTGTGTGTGACACTTCAGTTTTAATTTTCAGGGCTTCCTACGACACCTCTGCTCCAAATGCGAAACGTAAGTATCAGGATGAAGGAGAGACAGATGAAGACAAAATGGAAGAATATAAGGCAAGTAGAGAACAGGGCAATTTTCTGGTCAAGAAAAATATAAATCATTACAATAATAGATTCTTTTTCTTTTAAATTTATTTTTATTATTTTTTTAAGATTTTATTTATTTGAAAGAGAGAAAGTACACAGAGGGAGAGTGCAGACTTCCCGCTGTGCAGGGAGCCCAACATAGGGCTCAGTCCCAGGGGATCATGACCCAAGCCAGAGGCAGACACTGAGCCACCCAGGCGCCCCACAGTAGATTCTTATCCAGGAAAGTAAATTTAATGAAAGCTCAATTTTAAGCTTTCTAAAGTAAATGTCAGTAGCCTATGTATGCAGGCATACCTTGGAGATACTGCAGGTTTGGTTCTAAACCATCACAAAGAAGTGAATATTGCAGTAAAGCACGTCAAGTGAAATTTTTGGTCTCCCATTGCATATAAAAGTTATGTCTACACTATCTTATAGTCTGTTAAATGTGCAGTAGCATTAATATCTAATAAAGCAAGATATATACCTTAATTTAAAAATACTTTATTGCTGGGATGCCTGGGTGGCTTAGTCAGTTAAGGATCTGCCTTTGGCTCTGTTCGTGATCCCAGGGTCCTGGGGTCGAGTCCCACATCAGGTTTCTTGCTCAGCTAGGAGCCTGCTTCTCCTTCTGCGTGCTGCTCCCCTGCTTGTGTTCTCTCTCTCTCTCTGACAAATAAATAAAAAACTTAAAAAAAAAATGTTTTATTGCTAAAAAATGCTAGCCATCTTTTGAGCTTTTCAGCGAGTTTTAATCTTTTTTTTTTTTTTTTGCTGGTGGAGGGTCTTGCCTCAGGATTGCTACAGCTTCCACATCAGTGCTTGCTGCTTCACCTTACGCTTTTATGTTATGGAGATAGATTCTTTCCTTAAACCTCATGAACTGACCATCATTAGCTTCCAGCTTTCCTTCTGTGGCGTCCTTACCTCTCTCAGGCCTCATAGAATTGAAGAGAGTGAGGGTCTTGCTCTAGATTAGGTTTTGGCCAAAGGGAATGCTGTGGCTGGTTTGATTTTCTCTCCAGACCAATAAGCTTTTTCCGTATCAGAAATAAGGCTGTTTACTTTCTTACCATCTGATAAAAATAGTAGTTTTATATGGTTTTTAAGAGAAATAAAATTTTCCCATTGGTGGTCATGTCTTTCATGATTTGAGCTAAATCCCAGTATTCACAGTATGATGAGATAAATAATATTAGACAATTCAGTCAACAAAATCAGTAGTTATAGATAGGTATTTATTGATGAGAATGAAAAGGAAATTTTTATTTATTATAAAAATATCTAGGTAACGAAAAGCATGCAAAGACTTCAGTGTTTGACTTTAATGATAATTTGAAAAATTATATCTTAGGGAAATGAAATATTTATATTGAGTCTTGGGGTGCTTGGGTGACTCACTTGGTTAAGCATCTACCTTCAGCTCAGGTCATGATCCCAGGGTCCTGGGACTGAGCCCCACATCAGGCTCCTTGCTCAGCAGGGAGCCTGCTCCTTCTCCTTCTGCCTGCTGCTCCTCCTGCTGATGTTCTCTATCAAATAAATAAAATCTTAAAAAAAGAAGTTACATTGAGTCTTACTACTCAAGATATCATAAATACATAAAATATTCCTTCCATACATAAAATGTCTGTTTAATCTTCCTTTTCCAAGGATGAATTAGAAATGCAACAGGAAGAAGAGAATTTGCCTTATGAAGAAGAGATTTATAAAGATTCTAGTACTTTTCTTAAGGTAAATAAATTTTCATATTATAAGTCTTCACATTTCAGCTCTATGCATGAAAAAATTTTAAATATTTACTATTTTCAATATTTTTCAGTTTTTGAGGAATTATCATTATAAAATAAAAATAATTTAAAATTATTCTTGAAATAATCTTCTGATACTTAGCTATTTAGGATGAGAGAATGCTATATCAATGTCTGTAGCCACTAAAGAGTATTACTGTCATTTTAGTTGTGTTTCCAAATATTACTAATTTTTTTAAATCTATGTATCAACTTCTATTTTGTATGGCCTCATAATAAAAAATAAAGTACAGAGTTAGTGTATCTGCCATTAGAGTAAAATGCTCTTAATTTAATTTTGACTTTTTCTTTAGGGAACGCAGAGTTTAAATCCCCATAATGATTACTGCCAACATTTTGTAGACACTGGACATAGACCTCAAAATTTCATCAGGGATGTAGGTATGTTAGATTTGTTGGGAATATGCTATTGCTAACTCTTGATTACATGCATGTACTTTATCCATTTTGTGGATTATTTCTAACAAAATCATTTTTCCTGGCTTGGCTTTTCTAATTCCAGAATTATTTTTCCTGGCTTCCTATTTTTATTCTCCATACTTCTAGTATACCCTCCTTTCCTTCCAGCAGTGTTTCTCACTCCCTTCCTTCCTTCCTTCTTCAGTTTGGTTCTGTGACTATTCTTGCATTTTTATTTTACCTTCATTTATTCCCTCTTCGATGCTTTGCCTTTTGTTTGTAGGCCTGATTTTCTCACCTATATTATTTTTTCCCTTGTCTCTAAAGAATTTTAACATTTCATGCAAGCCGACTCTATTGGCAACAAATTTCCTCAATTTTTTTTCATCTAAGAAAGTATTTCTCTTTCACTTTTGAAGAATAATTTCACAGAGTATAGGATTCTTGGCTGGTGTTTTATTCCTTTCAACACTTTAAATATTTCACTCCAATCTTTTCTTGCTTGCATGTTTCTAAGATACTGGATATAACTGTTATCTTTTTGTTTATCTTTCTATTCTTCTGTAGGCATGGTGTTCTTTCCCTCTGGTTTCTTTAGGATTTTTTCTTTAACATTCTGTAGTTTGAAAATGATATGCCATAAGTTTAGGGGTTTTGGCATTATATGGTTTGATATTCTCTCTGCTTTCTGGATTTGGTTTGTTGTCTGATATTAATTTGGAGAAATTCTCAGTCATTTTTATTTTAGATATTTCTTCTCTTCTCTCTCTCGTTCTTCTGGTATTTCCCTTACACACGTTACATCTTTTGTAATTGTCCCATGGTTCTTGGATTTTCTAAATTTTGGGGGGGTTTTTTTGTTTTTTTCAGATTTTGTTCTCTTTGCTTTTCAATTTTTGAGATATCTTCAAGCTCAGAGGTTCTTTCCTCAGCCCTGTCCAGTTTACTAAGTCCCTCAAATGTATTACCACTGCATTTTTAAAAACAGCTTTATTGAGATTATCATGTACCATATAGGTCACCCATTTTAAAGGGTATAATTCTGGTTTGTTTTGTTTTGTTTTGTTTTTAGTAAATCCAGTTTATACAGTCATTACCACAATCTACTTTTCATCTTCACTAAAGAAACTCAATACCCATTACTAGTTAGTTCCCATGACCTCCTCCTCATCTGCCCCCTAACCTTAAGTAACCATTAATTAACTTCCTATTTCTAGCAATTTGCCTATTCTAAACATTTCACATAAGTGGAATTGTACAATATGTGGTATTTTGTGACTGACTTCTGTCACTTGGCACAATGTTTTCAAGGGTTGTTGATGTTGTGGCATAAACCAGTACTTCATTTATTTTGACTGCCAAATAATATTCCATTGTATGTATATACCACATTTTGTTTATCCATTCATTTGGGTTGTATCCACATTTTGACTGTTATAAATTGCTGCATGAATATTCATGTAAAATTCTTGTATAAACATATGCTTTCATTTCTCCTAGGCATATAGCTAAGAGTAGAATTGTTGGGTTTAGCTTTTGGGGGAACTGCACAATTACTTTTCAAAGCAGCTGTACCATTTGACATTCCTCCCAGTAGTATATTGGGGTTCCAGTTTCTTCCCATTTACTGTTATCTGTCTTTTTAATGATGGCGATCCTAGTGGGTATGAAGGGATTTTGACTTGAATTTTCCTAGTGATGACTAATGATGTTCGGCATCTTTTCATATTTGTTGGCTATTTAAATACTTTGGAAAAATATCCAAACTCTTTGCCTATTTTTTAGGTGGTTATTTGCCTTTTTATTATTACATTATAAGAGTTTATATTCTCAGTCCAAGTCTCTTATTAGACATATGATTTGCAAGTATTTTCTCCCATTCTGTGGGTTGCCTTTTTACTTTCTCGATGGCATCACTTGCCACACACAAAAAATTTAATTTTGATACCTTCTGATTTATTATTTCTGTGTTGCTCACAAGCAACTCTTGAAGTTACTCTTGAAGTAGAAACTGATTTTAGTGTTTTCATGAGCAAAATTTAGCTGTAGCGTAAAAAGATATGATAATGTGAAGTGAAATAAGCCAGTCACGGAACAAATATGCAAATACTTAAGTACCTAATAGGGTATATGTAATATAAATACACTAAAATAGTCAAACTCATGGAATCAGAGAACAGTGGTTATCAGGGACTAGAAGAATGGGAAAATAGGGAGTTGTAACTGAATTGATAAAAAGTTTCGGTTATGCAAGATGAATTAGTTCTAGAGATCTGTTGTGTAGCATTGTGCTTGTAGTCAGTGATGCTGTTAACTGTAGTCAATAAAACTTTAAAAATTTGTTAAGGGTAGATCACATCTTAGGCGTTCTTATCCCACACGCACAGACATATACACACACCCAGAGGAACACAAGAAAACTTCTAGAGGTGATGGATGTGTCTGTTGCCTTGGTTGTGATGATTTCACGGGTGGATGCATATGTCTAAACTCATCAAATTATGTATATTAAATATGTGTGTTTGTATATGTTGGTTATACTTCAGTAAAGCTGTTTTTTATGATAGCTGTATAACTGAATTTCAGGATCCACCTTTATGCTTTTAAGATATGTATTTCCCCACAGCAAAGATAAAGTACTTAGGAAACTATTACAGATTGAGAAGAACTTAAATTTTCTGTTATAGAAGAGTGAGAGCCGATTCTACTGTGATTAAAACCTGATTATAATAAAATCTTTAAACTTGTTTTATTTGCAATTTGTTTTCTAAGCACTGATTGAAGAGGCTTTACGAAATCATTCACTTTTACTCTTTGATATTAAGGTTATTAATGTCTGTACTTTTGGTTTTTAAATTGAGATGCTTATATGTTTTATATTGTTAGGAATATGTTTCTTGGGGTGAGGGGGAAGAAAAACCAAATAAAAGATTTTAGGAATCTTTGATGTTCAAAGCCCTACTTATCCCTATAGTTGCTTAAATAGGCATTATGCTGCTTTACCTAAAATCTCTTCTGAGCTCAAAGATCTAAAACATTTTTGAGGACATGGGAACAGTGAGTCTTGTGTTTTTAAGTACACTTTGTAGGACTTATATATGTTTTTTAAGATCTTAAGTCTCAAAATATATATGGGGATTTGGTTCATAATGACAAGGAGATGTGAAATCTTTAAAATTATAAATATTGATATAAGAAATACTCATAAAGAAAACAACTTGTCTTGGAGGTGAGAGGTAGCCTACTATTAGGGACTCATTATCTTCTTTACTAGATTTGTTCTAGGGTTGTGTCCATGAGCCATAGCCAATTAATTTAAGGTCATCAGCTGTGTTTCTCTCATCTCTAACTATTCTTTGTTTCTTCCTAGATGTAATCATAAGAAGGAAAATAAATACTCATTTTCTCTGCCTTTGATAACTATTTAAGAAGCTAAATACAAACCTCAGTAATCACTAGCTTCTTAAGGAGAAAGAATTCTTTTAGCTAAAAGGAAGGGAGAAGACATGGTAGAGGAAGGCAGTTGTTCTTTTCTTTCCCTCAGAACAGAATGGCTTAACTTAATGCTGCGAGCAGATTTAACTTAAATATGAGAGATTAAATGGCTTGTTAATTTGGACTGAGCTTTAGAACATCTGGGTTTTTGCCTCCATGTGGGATTAGGGTCATTAGATATGAAATATATATATGTGAAATATTTAAAAAATACTCAAAATTAACTTTTTTAAAAGGACACAAAAATAAAGTGGTGATTGTGTATTGTTGTGTTCTCCTGAGAGGGCTCATAACCTTTGAATTCACTGATACTAATTTCCATTGTATTGAAATTTAGTATTTACTATTTTTTGTCCTCAGGTTTGGCTGACAGATTTGAGGAATACCCCAAACTGAGGGAGCTCATCAGGCTGAAGGATGAGTTAATAGCTAAGTCAAACACTCCTCCGATGTAAGTGTGTTTTTTCAGTTTTCATTCCCAACTCCAGCTTAAAATAGCAGTTTTTTTTTTATCCTGTAGCCTTTCTGTTTGAAAAAAATTCAGCACCTATATAATGTTAACAAACTTTTCCTGTGTATGGTAAAACAGATTCATTTGACATTCCAGTGCTGAGTGTTCTCATTTTATTTTATTTTTTTTAGTTTCCTAGATAATTTCTTTAAAGTGTCTCTAAATGTTTTCTTAGAAAAATAATTCATGTTTGTTGTATCTTGAGTTTCTTAAAATGTTTTTGAATGACTTTTCCCTTCAAAAAGCAGTTTATTTGTTGAAGGAAGTTTAGAAAACTTAGATGAAGGAAAAGAAAAAATAAAGGTTAGTTATAACTCAGCATTCAGGGATACTAGTCTTAACATACTGGATTATGAAAGTTCATTTTAACCTTTGCTAAACAGAATAATGTTTTCCTCAAAAATATGTAAAAAGTCTTTGAAATTGGAAAATCTACTTAATTCACATTTAGCTTACTTTGAACATTTTATACATTTAACAATTTGCTAAAATATATTCTTTTAGTAATTAGAAGACTCACAAAGAAGTCCGAGTGTGTGGAGAAAAATATTAGCAGATTCTAACATTCATCCAATTTAAAAACCTGTTAAAGTATTTTGTATTTAAATTATTTTAATACTATATATAAAAAAAAACCTTTCAGTAAAGGCTAGTCATAATTTATACTAGGTGGCCAGAAAAGGCTATTAATATAAACAATTCTACTAACAAACAAATTGATAAAAGAAAATTATACCCATCTTTAGAAACAATTTTTTAGAAGGAGGCTTTTAAAGCTAACAAATAGTTCTTCTAACTTAACAATTAAGAAAAAATAATGTAGTCCTTAGGCGATTCAGATGATGATGAAATGGGGCTCAGAGATTTATTCACACTCCTATGGAATTTTAGTATAAAAATGAGAGAAGTACATTCTTGATGTACATAGGGGAATTTGATTTTATTTTGTAGTGTGATTATAGCTATCTTGTAGAGAAGAGTGTTGGTAGATGGTTTACTGTCTATACTGAGGAAAGATACTCCTGCATAAAAAAGGTATTCAGTAATTAGTTTATGATTACTTTGTAAATAGTGTTTAGTAATATTTAAGAAATTCCTTTCATTATTATCTGTAAGGTATTTGAAAATCTCTTAGTCACTTTTTATGCCTTAATCAAATAGGTACTTACAAGCAGATATAGAAGCCTTTGACATCAGAGAACTGACACCTAAATTTGATGTGATTCTTCTGGAACCCCCTTTAGAAGAATATTACAGAGAAACTGGCATCACTGCTAATGAAAAATGCTGGACTTGGGATGATGTATGATGAAACTTTCTACATTGTAATTATTTCTTTTTCAATGAATATTTATTTGATGAGAAGATTATAAATATTCCCATATTTTCAGGAATCATAAATATATATAATGTGGCAAAAGATCCAGGGTACATTGACAGTTTTACACTATCTTTGGTCTGATTCTTTTTGGGGCAGAAGTTGAAGAGGTAGTGAGTAAATAGTCTGTGGAAGACTTACAGTTCCAGTCTTAAGAGTCCTTGGATGTATAACTAGGAGAGTCTAAAGCCAGAATGACTGGTAATTCTTTCTGCATTTGCTTAGTTTTAGTAAACATTAGAGTATAATACATATATACATATATGTAAAACATGATTTCTTTTTAAGGAACTTACAGTATAATGGGTAAAAAAGATACATAATTTCAGTATAATTGTGATAAAATCACATTTTCCTAAATAAAATTAGGCAAGCTGGTAACTTCAGTCAGTTACATAAAGTTATCTGTTTTTACTGATCAGTAACAAAAATAAATACTTATTGAGCACTACTCTGTGCTAGGCAATGTGGTAGGTACTGGAGATTCAAAGGTGAATAAACCCTGGTACTTGGACTTAAGGAGAATGTAATTTAATGGGATAAATATTGACCTAAACAGATAATTGCATTATTATTTTGTTAGTTCTATAACAGAGGACTGCATAAGATGATCTGAGAAAAACTGACCAAGCCTCGGAGGATGGGGTATGTGAACAAAGAGGAGGTGACACATTAACAGTATAAATACACTAGTTGTAATTGGCCAGATAAAGAAAGGGATAGGATGGTGATTCCAGATGGAAAGAACAGTAAGAGCAGAAGGGATGGAGACAAAGACTATCTGGTTTGTAGGTTGTTGTTAGAACACAGATTGGTCCTTTCTTGCGATGATGTCTTCTTAGAAGCTTAAACTTTTATCCTGAAGACATTATGGAGTCTTTGAAGGGCTTTAACCGGTTTAGTTCAGTGGTCAGATTAGTGTGTGGAGTATGCACTAGAGGAAAAGTCTGGAAAGGGGAGAGCAGTTAGAAGACTGTTGCAGTAGCCTAGTTAGGAGATGAAGGGACCATAAATAGGGGTAATGGTAGTAAGAATAGAAAGGTGATAAATTCAGTAATGTGTAATAGGTACTGCGGTGAGCTCTAGTGATTAGAATGAGTGGGGAGAGAGTTAAGGATGATTTGAAGGTTTAAGTCTTGGGATAGGTGGGTTAATTTTTCACCAGTTGAGAAAGAGTGAATTTAAGAAGAGCTGGATTAGAGGGATTAGATCATATTGAACATGTTGATTTTGAGGTATATGTGAGACATTGATGTGGAGGTTGTAATAGGAATATGTCATTCAAAGGACAGATCTGTGTCTCAAAATACAGATTCAGAAGATGAGTGCATCAAGCCTATGAAAATAGACGAATTTGTCCTAAGATAGTATCTTAATTAAGATAACATGTGGATTGACAGTAAAGCTTCAGGAAGCTTTTACATTTAAGAGGCACATGTAAAAGAGAGGTCAAACGAATGGGGCAGAGATAAATAAAACCAAGAGTATAAATGTCATAGGGGCCAAGGGAATAGGGAATTTCAAGGAGAGAGTAGGTAGGAGTGTTGAGCACAGAAGGGAGGTTGGGAAAGGAGAGGACTGACATCTGTCAAGACTGGAGTTTCATAGGAAATGGTGCTGAATCCTTGCATGTCCTCCTGTTTAATGATAATTAACTTCTATTATTTAATCTTCAGGATATACCTCTGGTTTTTCCTCCTTGAAGCTTTTCCTTTCATCTCAATCCCTCAGACACTTTTATTTACATATTTATAGATATTACCACTTTGAAAAGGTTTTTCCCATTCTCTGATAATAAATATAATTTGTACTTATTGAAATTCAGAAAGGTAACAGTATATAGTATTCTAAAGGCGACGCAAAAGACATAATACTCTCGATATTTATTGCTGGGAATTTTCCAGATTTACGTTCCTTCCAGTTATGTTTAAGAAACATCTGTGTAGCCATATCTTCATTAAAATTGACTAGTAATATAAAAACAATCTTTGTGGCCTTAATCAAAGGAAAGAAAATTGAAAAAACATCTCCCGTATGTCTTTGATTATTGTAGTTGATCCTTGAACAATGTGGATTTGAACTGCACGATTTCAGTTATACATGGATTTTTTACAGAGAAGTAGTGTAAATATATTTTCTCTTCCTTAGGATTTTCTTAGTAACATTTTCTTTTCTCTAGCTTACTTTAAGTATAGGGTGTAAATACATATAACATATAAAGTGTGTTAATTGACTGTTTATGTTATCGGTAGGGCTTCTAGTCAACAGTAGGTATAAGTAGTTAAGCTTTGGGGAGTCAGAAGTTATACTCGCATTTTTATGGGGGGTATGAGTTGGTGCCACTAACCCCTGCATTGTTCATGGGTCACCTGAAACTAGGCTGAACTTTATTTTCTCTGGCCAGTCTCTAAGGTTTGGTGAGTAAAGGCACAAGAGCTTCAATTATATGTGACAGACTAATAGAGTTTTTGAAATAAAGGAACTCTTTTATATGTATATTCTTGATTTCAGTTTAATTTTACTGAACAGCTCTGGCTGGCATGGTTGAAATGTTTGTCTGGCCCTTGAGCCCCAAGTTCTTAACCTTTATGTGATAATTTCCTAAAGAAAGTGCCAATAGTTAAACCAATATATAAAATGTAAATAAGAAAGAGGATTTCACAGGTATTCTCTTTCACATTAGAGAGTCAGTAGTGGTCAACACATTTTGGCAAAGAACATAAGGCCTTATTTAAAATACCAACAATTAGCAATTAGAACTGCAGTGTCAAGAGAATAATTTGCTTAATGTTCTCTAATATGTGGCATCACTTATTTTTATCTATTTCATCTATAAACATGTAGGAATATGTGTGTGTGTTACATAATTATTCATATTCTTAATGACTTAGATGAGAGATTTCAAGATTTTAAAAAGTCAGAATATAAAACTCATTAGGTTTATACATATTGTAACTTATGTCCTTTATTACTGTCAAATAATATTTTTCTTTTTAGATTAAGTTAGAAATGGTAAGCTTATAACATAAATGGATCTGTTACTAAAGTTAATATATTTAGGGGCACCTGGGTGGCTCAGTGGAGTAAACCCTCTGCCATCAGCTCAGGTCACGATCTCAGGGTCCTGAGATTAAGCCCCGCATCAGGCTCTCTGCTTGGTAGGGAGCCAGCTTCCCCCTCTCTCTCTGCCTGCCTCTCTGCCTACTTGTGATCTCTGCCTGTCAAATAAATAAATAAATCTTTAAAAAAAAAGTTAAGATTTTTTAAATAAACGAAACATAAATTTTTGCTTAAACTATGGTCTCTGAAACTTAACTGTGGCGGAAAACTGGAAGAAAAAGAGTATCATATAAAATGGTTGGTTTTACAGTTTTTTATGTGACTGTGTGGAAATTTACAGATTTAATTATTTGAACTTTTTTTCAGTGTGACACACAAGGGAAACACATACACATACAAGGGAACACATATAAGGGAACAATACATACAAAGGAAACAAAATTATACATTAATTTTTGTTGCAAGTTTTTGTTTAAATTCCACTTAGTGAACATATAGTGTAATATTAGTTTCAAGTGTAGAATTTAGTGATTCATCATTTACATACAGTACTCAGTGCTCATCGCAACCAGTGCCCTCCTTCATGCTCATCATCATTTAGCTCCCCCGCCCATCTCCCTTCATCAACCCTGTTTGTTCTCTATAATTGAGTCTATTTTATTTTTGCCTATGTTTGCCTTCCTCTGTTTTTCCCCTCCTATGTTATTTGTTTCCTAAATTCCACATATGAGTAAAATCATATATTTGTCTTTCTCTGACTGACTCATTTTGCTTAGCATGTTCTGTAGCTCCATCCGTGTCATTGCAAATGGTAAATATTTGCATTTTTTATGGCTGGGTAATATTCCATTGTAAATATATCTCACATCTTTATCTCTTCATCAGTTGATGGACATTTGGGCTCTTTACATAGTTTGGCTATTGCTGATAATGATGCTATAAACTTCGGATGCATGTGTCCCTTCAAATCAGTATTTTTATATCCTTTGGGTAAATACCCAGTAGTGCAATTGCTGGATCGTAGGGTAGGGTAGTTTTGGTTTAACTTTTTAAGGAAACTCCGTGCTGTTTTCCAGAGTGTCTGCACCAGTTTGCACTCTCACCAACAGTTAATAAGGGTTCCCCTTTCCCTGCATCCTTGCCAACACCTGTTGTTTCTTGTGTTGTTAATTTTAGCCATTCTGACAGGTGTGAGGTGTTATCTCATTGTAGTTTTGATTTGTATTTGCCTGATGATGAGTGACTTTGAGCATCTTTTCATGTGGCAGTTGGCCATCTGTATGTCTTCCTTGGAAAAATTAGACTATTTTTTGGCATTTCAGACTTAAAGTGGTCATTATAATGAAATGCGCATATTGATTTATTTTATATAGAACTTACGTAAATACTGGAAACCAAATCTTCCCCAAACATTTGTTATATTTCATTTTAATTTTGCTCCTAATTTGGGGGTAATTTAACCTCTTCCTATTTCAGTTTCTTTTTCTATAAATCATGAAGGGCTGCTCTCAAGCTACATCTTATAGAATTCCATTATTCTATGAATATGGTCCCCCCGTAACCTTTTTCTGTATGAAATCAAGTGTGTGTGTGTGTGTGTGTGTGTGTGTGTGTGTGTGTTTTCTTAATATAGAATAAGAAAACAGAATAATTTGTAAGGATAAAATTTATTTGCTAATGAAAATTAGTACATTTAAAGAACACATCTGCTTAAAGTCCTGATAAATCTCAATGGTTGTTCTTTTAGATTTAGGATGATTGGAAAATGCAGTATTGTTTTGGTTTCCCACAGATTATGAAGTTAGAAATTGATGAGATTGCAGCCCCTCGATCATTTATCTTTCTCTGGTGTGGTTCCGGGGAGGGATTGGACCTTGGAAGAGTGGTAAGATGGTTTTTTTAAATTGGATTTTTAATTCATAAGAAAAAATATAAAAAGTTTGAAGATAGATGTTATTCTGTCCTTTGTTTCTTGAACAGTTGCTAAAATACTCAGAAGGAAAAAATATGTTCAGAAAAGAATGCATGAAAGGCAGTACTCTTCAGTTAACTAGCACTAGGGTTCAATAAGTCCCAATATAATTTGTTACAACTTCAGAACAGTTTAGACATTTGAAACTGCAGCTCAAAAACAGGCTGCTTAGTGTCATTTACTACTCATTATAAGTAGCTAGAAGGTACTCTTCTGAGTAATATTAACTTCTGAATTCCACATAGAAACCAAAACAAATGGGAAAAATAACATGGCATCTGGAACACATGGTTTGAATGATCAAATGAAGAAAGAAGTTACATAACATCTGTATTTATTTTAAGCATCTTGTATTTCCTGTATTTCAGGACTTTATTTTTCTTATTGCACTTATTTTGGATTTCTAAATGAAAATAAAGTAGCATATGCCTTTTTATCTAAGAATCATGGGAGCATGTGGCTACGTATTAGAAGGCTTCATTCAGTTTTAGTCTGAGTTCTGCTGTCTAGCAATGAAACTTTGGGCAAAGAGATTTTTACTCTGGTGGGTTTCCGTTTCTTCACTTGTTACTAGATGACACCTTCCATTTTTAAGATATATTGTGATACAGCAGATAATCTCATTTAAGCCTAGTAATTTTAGGAAGTGTCCATTTGACAGGTGAAGAATTTAAGTAGGATTATTTTGAGATAAATTTATGCTAAAATCCTGAAATTCTGCAGTTACTTTGTATTCTTTATATAAATAACAAGTTTGAGACTGTTAGATACATCCTTGCTTGTGTCATTTATTAATTCCAATGTAAGACTATAACTGCATTCCAATTGGGTATCTATTTTTTGCTGGCACCTCTCCAAGAAGCTCTGGAAAAACTAAGAAAATAGAAACATACTGTATGTTTTTATAGGTATGTTGGTATTTACCTTTTATAGCTGCTAATGTCTGGCTTTGGGCTTGCCTTCCACCTCCCAAATTAGGTTGAAAATGATTAGGAGGTTTTATTGTATTTGTTTATGTAGTAGTCTGTCATATTGGTGAAAGCAGATTTTGGCCAAAAATTATTGCAAAGATAATTTAGCATTAGAAATACTTACAGGCTTTTTGTTAAATTGATTAGGGCGTGAGGATTTAGACCCCCGTGGTTTATAACGAACATCCAGTGCAAAACAAATAATTGGCTACAGGAACAGATACTGATCTTGATTTTTTTTTTTTAAGATTTTATTTATTTATTTGACAGACAGAGATTACAGGTAGGCAGAGAGGCAGGCAGAGAGAGAGGAGGAAGCAGGCTCCCCGCTGAGCAGAAAGCCCGATGTGGGTCTCGATCCCAGGACTCTGAGATCATGACCCGAGCCGAAGGCAGAGGCTTTAACCCACTGAGCCACCCAGGCGCCCCTGATCTTGATTTTTGAGATTTTAAAATAAAAATCCAAGTTTCATTTTGAGGTGTTTCCCACTTTACACAGTAAGGGCATTCCTGAAATGAACAGTACCAACAATATTCTACTGCACAATTTAGTTATTTTCCCCCTAATTTCCTCTTAGATCATTTGGGGAGGGGGTATATCTTATGTTTTTATTCCCACCAGCTATGCCACACACGCATCGGGTAGTGGGCCCTCATTATGCCACTCTAAGCAGTGTATTAGCAAGTATTTGTTATATGTTCTTATATAACAGATTCTAGGACACTAAGCATCAGATCTCTATTTTCTAGGTTGTATAAAGATGAAAGTACAGTTTTATCCAGTAATGAGCTATACACAACAAATTTAAGGCTTTGAATCTTTTGAAGTTGTTAATATTAAATCTATAAAGATAACGCAAGACTCTCGTTTGAAAAGAAGCTATCAATTAAAATACTTTCTGTAGTTTTTAGCTTTGTCAGAGGATAGAAAATTGAGGTGCTAGGAATCAAATTATCTGTTGAATTTTATGATTAAAGAGGGGCTGAGTGTTTTATGATTTAAAACCCCCTTTCAGGGCGCCTGGGTGGTTCAGTGGGTTAAAGCCTCTGCCTTTGGCTCAGGTCATGATCCCGGGATCCTGGGCAGAGAGCCTGCTTCCCCCTCTCTCTCTGCCTGCCTCTCTGCCTACTTGTGATCTCTGTCTGTGAAATAAATAAATAAAATCTTAAAAAAAAAAAAAAAACCCTTTCTATTGATTCGAGTGGAAGGTAGTATTAAAGAATTTGGAATATTAGTAAAATTCTGTTTTCATATCTAACTTTATATATTATACTAATATCCAGAATATGTCTATGCATTCTGTATATTGGCTGCTTAAAGACTGGTTTTTCTTTTTTTCTATTTCTGAACTAAAAATTACTGTCACATCTTGGAATTTAGTGTCTCAAACCTCTAGGAAGTTTTTTAGTGCTGGTTGGTTATTTTAACTTTTGTTTATTTCTTTTAACTAAAGATTTCTTTTTTTTAATTCTTTTTAGTGTTTACGCAAATGGGGTTACAGAAGATGTGAAGATATTTGTTGGATTAAAACCAATAAAAACAATCCTGGAAAGACTAAGACTTTAGATCCAAAGGCTGTCTTCCAGAGAACAAAGGTATTGCCTTTACTGTTTTGTTTCTTTATTTTCATTATTTTCCCTCAGGCTTTTCCAAATGACTGTATACTATTTAATTTTGGTAGAAAGGTTCTTTTCTTAGATTTGTACAAATGGCATTGAACGCTATAGTAGTACATCCAGTTTAATTTTAAAATAATTCACCTTGTTAGCTCAACCTTCACTGTGTTAGAGAAGGTAATATGTATTCTTGTGTGTCCCAAACTGCTGTAATTCTAAGTCAGTATGGACTTTTTGTACCTCTGACCCCTCCAGACTTTTTCCCTTTCCCTGGGCCCAGAAAAAAGAGATGGCAGCAAGACTCTCACAGCTGGTTGGCTTAGAGAGATATTTTTTTTCTTCTCTTTTTCCTACAAGAGAATCCTAAGAACCTACACAAGAACCCCTGAGAACCTCTGCTCCATAAAACTGCCCTGTTACTCTCAGGCTTTAAAAGTTTGTCCTCCATTCTTTCACTCTTTAGGGAGCAACTGGAGGGAGGGTCTTTCTTATTAAATCTTTCCTAGACTGGAAAGTTCTTTTCAAGGAACCTAAGTTACCCTTGCCATAGTTCATGGAGTCAAGTGAGAGAGTAAATTTATTTAACCCATATGCCTGCCATTTAGATTAGAGGTCAAAAAAACAAAAAAGTAAATTGATTTTCTCATTTTTTTATGTTGAGTCATTAGAAGTCTGTATACATAATTAAAGTCCCCTTTCCATATAAAAAGACTTATATCTTGTATATCATTTTGATCTTGGATCATATACGAAGCCCAGTATAACATCATTTTAAGATTCTAAGGTCAAGTGTCATGCTTCCGTAACTGGAGAAAACAAGTTGTTATCTAGTGTTGAAGAGGAAAAGACTCTGTGGTCATTGACACAGTTCTAAAACATCATGGCCCCAAATTTGATACTGTCATGTCTAGCTTCCCTGGCAGTCTTCTCACATCTGGAGGTCCAGATTTTCCTATTGTGTTTTTGCCGATAGAACTCTTTTCCACAGATTTGGAGAAATGAAGTTTGTTTTGGAATTTGGGACATCAGAAATGTAAAATGTTAGGAAATAAGACTGCTGATGAAGAGAATAATTGGTCTGCTCTTACTTTTATTTAGGAACACTGTCTTATGGGGATCAAAGGAACTGTTAAGCGTAGCACAGATGGGGACTTCATTCATGCTAATGTTGACATTGACTTGATTATCACAGAAGAACCTGAAATTGGCAATATAGAAAAGCCTGTTGAAATTTTTCATATAATTGAACATTTTTGCCTTGGTAGAAGACGCCTTCATCTATTTGGAAGAGATAGTACAATTCGACCAGGTAGGACCTTAGAAAATCTTTGAAAAACTTTATCACCCCTGGGGATATAGGTGTCAAGAAATAGTACACAATGCTGTGTTAAATAAAATTCTTGTGATGTGTTTGATTCCTCTTGCTGTACTTCAGATATGCCAAACTCATTCTTGTCTCTTCATGGTCCTCTACTTTCATTCAAATACCTGACAACCTTTTCTCACAACTCTTGTCTAAACTGGCCACCTTCCCCTTATACGCGCCCCCCGCCGACTTTCCTCCTTCCAACAAGCTCTTTCCCCTTACTCTGTTTTCTTTTTCTTCATAACACTTATCATTAGATGAACTGCAAGTTCATTGGGGCGTATGTTTTAGTCAGTTTCTTCAGCATACAGTCTCATGGAAGGCAAATATTGTCTTATTTACTTATTTCTACCCAACATTCAGATGATTCAGTAAATAACAAGTTGAAGAAATGCGTAAGTGAATGGTTAAATAATCCCATAGAAAATAACCATACATTTGTGAAGTACAGATCTTGGCTTAATTAGAAACTAAAATACCTAAGCTTGTTTGCTTACACGTATAGTGGTGTTGTCTTTTCAAAGTTTTAACTTCTTACGAAATCAATATAATGTGAATTTACTACTTTGAAAAAGAAATGAGTAGAAAATAATTAGACTATTATGGACAAATTTTTTCTTAAAGGGCACAATTTTTAGGTACAGTGTTATTGAAATATCAGTATATTCTGTTTTATTGATTTCTCAGAAAATATAAAAGTAGCATTGCTTTATTCATAATATATAAAATCAATCTCTTTGCCTCAGCATGTTAGAAATCCAGTTTAAAGGTGAAAAGAGCCAGAATCTTGTTTTGAACAGCCTACATTTTATAAAAAGTAAAAAGTTAAAGAACTTACAATAGAATAATTGGCCATAAAAGTACCTAAGAATTTAGAAGAAACTCTGATTTTCATTCTAAACAAAGTAATCCTTGGGGCACCTGGGTGGCTCAGTTGTTAAGCGTCTGCCTTCGGCTCAGGTCTTGATTCCAGGGTCCTGGGATCGAGCCCCGTATCAAGCCCCACATCGGGCACCCTGCTCAGCAGGAAGCCTGCTTCTTCCTCTCCCACTCCCCCTGCTTGTGCTCCCTCTCTTGCTGTGTCTCTCTCTATCAAATAAATAAAATCTTTTAAAAAAAGGTATATCCTTTAAAAAAAAATGTTAAAAAAAATCCTTAAAGTTGCCTTAACTTATGTGTATGACATAATCCACCCCTCTTCTGTCTCCCTGCCCATCAGCTACCTCTGTGTGCGTTGATGAGCAGCGTAACTTGAAGATATTTCAGTTGTAGAAACTCATGGCCTCAACTTTCATGAAATTATGTAAAATAGTAAACAAAGTAAATAGTTGAAAGATCAGTCTTTATTGAACATTTATAGTTAATATATGGTTTTTCCCATTCCAGATACAATTTAATCAGAAATCATCCTTCTTATAAGCTAAGTTGTATAGCAATGTAGCTGACAAAATTACTTTTGAATACCTATAGAGGTACAACATGTAATGCAAATTCTGAGAAATTGTTTTTATTTACTTCATTTAAGATGTATATTTGAATTAGATGTTGAAGGATGTAATTTTTAGCTGGTTGAAAGGATAGAATGGGCACAGGGGTGGGGTTTTGTGTTTTGTTTTCTTTTACATTATGAAGTATTTTGTTATTTTTTAAGATTTTATTTATTTAGGGGCGCCTGGGTGGCTCAGTGGGTTGAGCCGCTGCCTTTGGCTCAGGTCATGATCTCAGGGTCCTGGGATCCAGTCCCGCATCGGGCTCTCTGCTCAGCAGGGACACTGCGTCCCTCTCTCTCTCTCTTTCTCTGCCTGCCTCTCTGTCTACTTGTGATCTCTCTCAAATAAATTTAAAAAAATCTTTAAAAAAAATTATTTATTTATTATTTGAGAGAGAGAGAGAGGACGAGAGAGGGAGAGGATCCGAGGGAGAAGCAGACTCCCTGCAGATCAGGGAGCCTGATGCGAGAGACAGTGCTGGGACTCCAGGATCATGACCCAAGCCGAAGGCAGTCAGTCGCTCAACCAGCTGAGCTACCCAGGCACCCCACATTATGATGTGTTTTTATTTTTATTTTCAGAGGTGGAGATATGTATGGAAAGTTATATCTATAGTGATTTTTTTACTCAAATGAAGTCATGAAAAGCATTAATGAAAAATGTGACTGGAAATTTAGTTCAGGTTTCATCCTAAAAGACATTAGATACCATATATACGAATCTGTGCTTTGTGGAGAGTCCTAGAAGATTAGGCAGAGAAGTGACATATTTTAGTTTGTTTTAGGCTTTCTGCTTTCAGAGGGAGGAGAGGCTGGGAGATCATTACAGTATACATGTGTGTTTGTGACATGTGTAGGGAGCTGGCCTAACAGAAAAATAAAGGCTCATGTTTGAGGGTTGACAGTAGGCATGGAAAATGGAAATGAACAGGCACAACATGGTAGCGGTTGCATTTCGGGTACCTGTCAGCTGGATTAGTGTTGTGGTTGGGAAGAGTAGAGGCAAAAGTTGATTCCAGGATTTTAATCAGAAAACAATGGTATCATTTCTACAAGTAGGAAGGTTAATAAAATTTATTAAATTTTCACTGAACCCAAACTCAGTGTAGTGTGTACTTTTTTTTTTTTTTTTTTCTAAGTGCTGCTCTCACAGAATGTGAAATGTGGGTGGAGACAGTAAGGAAGATATTTTATAAAAGTTAACAGTCATGAAGATGAAATAAGATGAAATTTGCATAATGACTAAATGCTGTGCGTTCTGTTAAAAAAAATACTGGATGATTGATAGGGGCATCTTTATTTTTAATTTTAATGCATCTTTAAAAATGCATTTGAAGATTTGAAGTAGCTCCTAAAGAATTAGTAAGAGAAATGGGGAAAAAAAAAAAAGATAATCTTTCTTTCCCTCTATTTCAGGCTGGCTTACAGTTGGACCAACTCTTACAAATAGCAACTATAATGCAGAAACCTATGCATCCTACTTTAGTGCTCCTAATTCCTACTTGACTGGATGTACAGAGGAAATTGAGAGACTTCGACCAAAATCACCTCCTCCCAAATCGAAGTCCGATCGGGGAGGCGGAGCTCCCAGGGGCGGAGGAAGAGGTGGAACTTCTGCTGGCCGCGGCCGAGAAAGGAATCGATCTAACTTCCGAGGCGAAAGAGGTGGTTTTAGGGGGGGCCGTGGAGGAGCACACAGAGGTGGCTTTCCACCTCGGTAACTTTTTAAGACACTGATCTGTTAATGCTCTATATCTTCTTCACTGTAGTTTGATTTCCAACTGGGGGACTTTGTTTAGCATTCAGTTCCAGCTTGCACTTTGCTTTAACTTCTCTAAGCTCCAATCTCCCTCGCAGTTGTTACACACATTGTGTAGTTTTATCCGGGAGAAACAGGTCATCCTGCCTTCGGTCATGTGCATGTAACTTAACAGTGCAACAAACACCTTCCTTTCAGAGACTGATTTATTCTGATAGATTCCAACTAATTACAAAGGCTTCTGCCTTTTAGAAATAGTTTTAAGTGAACAGTGAAAAAGACCCAATCTGTAGTGTCATACTAGTGCCAAGAGCAGTTGATAATGGGCATCCTACCACTGCTGTCGTGGCAAATGGAAAGCTGTTTGGGAGCCTTGATAGAACGGAGTTGGGACAGATGGTTAACTTCTGTCAAAGTTTTAACATTTTCTTGATGAAACAAAGACTTTTTTTTTCTTTTTAAAAAATCTTATACTCAGATAGAATTTGACTACTACTGAAAAATTGAGAGAATTTGAACAAAATCCGCTCCTCCTAAATCCACATCTGATAGGGGAGGTTGGTGCTCCCAGCGGTGGGCAGAGGAAGAGGTAGAATTTAGTAGGCAGACTTAAAAAGAGAGAAAAAGTTCATCATAATTTCAGTTGCAGGTGACTGTTAATCACACTTCTTAAGAAGCGAAGGAGGACAAATATCCAAGTTGTAGAACTTTGGTGTAGACTTGGATTGACCTTCAAAGCAGCTTCATATATTCCTTAGCAAAGTAAAAGAAATGAGGCAACAACAGAGAGAACTGCTTCATCAGGTGTTTTGAGAATAAACTATTTGGTGATGAGGAAATGACATCTTTAAACTTGTTATGGAGAAAACAGTATTAAAAACCAATTACAGAAGACCCTCAACTTAAGACAGCTTAGAAAATGGAATTGCAGTTGCCTTTTATTAAAACCATATGGTATGTTGTTTTTAAGAACCTGGTTTTGCAGATCGGTTGGTTGTATAAAGCTTTCTTCTGTCATTTCTATTCCTATACTGTAACTCATGTTTTAAATGAATTTGATGAATGAAATAACCATTATTGTTCTTGAAAAATATATTTTTTATTTTGTGTATGATTTTTCTAATGAAACTTTAAACCCTTGAAATGTGGGAGTCTGTTTTCTGTAAGTGGAATTGCCTTTGTTACCAAATGAAAAAGGACTGACTTAAGATCAGACTTTTGTTTTGGTCTTTGATGCATTTTAGTAGCCATTCTCAGCTTTTCATTGGCTCAGTTATACCTCAAGTGAGGTTATATTACACACACTAAAGACTCAGTTTGAAGATAAGGGCTGAATTATAGAAATAGGTTCGAGATCCTTAAAAGCCTGGTGAATTTAATGTACTCAACGTGTTGGTACTTTGTATTTGACTAATGCCTTTTTTGATGTAGATACATAGATATGAATCACAGTTGGTTAGAATTTTTACTGAAATGATCCTTTATTTTCAACTTCAGTAATTATAAAGTATCTAGGTAGAACTGCATTTGTCAAAGTTGACATGAGAATAAAGAAGATAAATGTTCTAATTGCCCAGTGTGGGTCTTTAGAAATTCCAGTTAGGAAGTGACCCCATCTTATAAACAAGACTCTCTAGTGTGGTCCATACCTGGGCCTAGCCAAGAGAAGGCAGAGTTCTTAGTGCTTACCTGGCCTAGTTACCTGTGAGATGTACATCATAATGTCATCTTACAGAGAATTAGGAATGGCGTTTTTGTAGGTTGAAAGTTAAATATGCCCACCATATTTAGAATACAGCAAATAAGAAAGGAGGAAGTCATGGGGGAAATGCAAGGCCTAGAATTATCTCTTTGACGATGTAATGTGGAATTTTTATAGCACAGGATGGCATTGACTCACTAGTTTTGCTACTAGGTTGGGGTTATCATTTTTATGACAGAATCTGTATTCATTGAGGAAACATTTCCAATGAAAACTCAATAATCTGACCTCTTCTGGCTTTTGATCATCTTTATATTCATTTACATGCCTTACATTTTTAAAAAATTATCTAGGAATTACCCAAAATAATAGTTATTTCACTTACAGATTCCTTATTGGGTAGAAGCTAGTAATTGTGAAATAACCTTACATTTTTCAGTTTAAAAGCTCTAAGATCAGCATATCTGTTATACATAATTACAGTCCTAAGGTCCTAAGTATTTCAGTCCAAATGTTGATGTTTATTTTCATTGGTAATAGTTCTTTCCCTGTTACATATTTCCCTTCAAAGGATGGAGATTAGGAGGCCTAAAGGACTACAGTTCTTTTGTGGAGGAGTTGATGATGTCATGTAGAACAAATTCTGTGGTGGGGAATATCATACCCAAATACTACTGAACCAGATTAGACCGAGGAATTATGGAGATATCAGTCCAAGATTAAAATGGCACCATGACACAGCACAATGTGAGAGATGTCAGACTGGGAAGTGGGGATCAAGTGTGGAGAGTCTCATTATGGCAGCCGGTCACATGTCCAAAGTTGGAATGGATCAGCGTGCAGCAGTAGTATACTGTTCTGATGCTCAGGTAAGTCAAGAGCCTCCTGAGTCCTTAGCCCATAAATCTGGAAGCTTAAACTATGTGTCTGTCTCTGTTCTGAAGCTGCGTAAGAGTCATGCCATAGTTTGATTTTAAGTTGATGGAGTTTTAATGGCAAGATGCCTGCGTGTTAGTGTGTTATCCAAAGCTGAGATCCTGTGTCATGGCTGTTAACTAGGAATGATTCCTTTTTATGTCTTACAGAATACTTCTTACTCATTTTAATTGTTCAATTACAACTTTCTGATTAGTTCAGCAGCTTATTTTAAAACCTGTGCTGCTTTCATCCTGAATTTAACTACAGAAGATTTGGTCTTTGAAGTATAGTTAGTTCCAAATTTTTTTCTGATTTGTTTAATCTTTATTACCTTGACAGAATTATGGCCTAGTGGGACTCATTCAAAATAGTAGTTTTTGATCTAAAAGTGTCTTATATTTTTGTGAGCTATTAAAAACAAATTTTTGCTTGTAAGAAGGGCCTTTCTTAGAACAATCCTTGTGGTCCACATAAGATTTTTAGCATTATTCTGTCTTTGATATTTGGTGATAGAGACTGAACTTTGACTTGGGGCTCATATGGAGTCCGTCAGTTCTAAAGCTGTAAATCTAGCACTTCGCAGCCATGGAAGACTCCATTTCTGGAAAAGCCACATTGTTCTGCTCACAAGGCCTCTACTCAAACAGAAATAGTGCTAGCTGTAGTGCACAGAGAAAAGTACCTCATTTAATCTAGAAAATTATTTTCCAGCAAACCCTCTTTCCAGTATTGGGCAAAATGTTAAAATGATCAGTTTGTGTGTGTATGTTACACTTCTTGTCTCTGTGACTGGAGGTGCTAATAAGTAGTGAAATTGGTTAAGGTTGGTTTTTTCCAAAAATAATTCTAACTAATGGAGAATCTAGAGGTCAACAGTATAAAATGGCATACAGGAACCAAGTATATAATACAAATTGGTGAAACAAGCCATGAATTTGTTTTATAGTGGAGTAATTATCTTTTTTGACATATTTTGTTTGCATATTAAACATGGGAATATTTACTTTCATTTATCTCGCCTGTTTTCCCAGTTCGGTGGGTTTTTTCAAGTCCTAAGAAAAGCAGAGCAGCACAGAGCACTTAATCTCAGGCCCATGGAGACTAGAGAGTAACGTAGGGGGACAGGAGAGCTCACACCCCGAGTAAGGTGGACATCACTACTCAGCTCCACCTCGTTGTCACCACACAGGGAAGACAGTAAGTTTGAGCTATCCATGTGAAATCTCCCTGATTTTTAGATGTTGGCAATTAAATTTGTGTCCTTTGCTACATTTCCTTTTGTTAAAATTAGTTTGGCTAGCTAAATCCTGCATGCCTATTTTAAATTCTGGTCTCTAACCACCAGTGACCAAATTTATTTAAAGAAGAGCAAAAAAGGTTACTCAACTGGGGCAGGAAGCCATCAGCTTTGGAAGCGTGTGATGTAGTTGATGTACTTTGGACCATTCATAGAAGATCGCAGGTGTAGACTAATACTTTAAAGTGGCATACAGGGGTGCCTCCGTGGCTCAGTCGTTAAGCGGCTGCCTTTGGCTCAGGTCATGATCCCAGCATCCTGGGATCCAGCCCCACATTGGGTTCCCTGCTCCACGGGAAGCCTGCTTCTCCCTCTCCTGCTTGTGTTCCCAAACTCATTCTCTGTCAAATAAGTACGTAAAATCTTTAAAAAAAAAAAAAAAAAAGTGGCATACAGTGACAGGACTGCAAGCCATTTGTCCAGTGAGAGAATATGTAGAGGTCTAGGCCTGTGTTGTCACAAAACATACCTTTTATAGAATCCCATACCTGTATTTACAGTTAATATCATAAAAGAGTAACTACTTTTTTTTTTATAAGTACAGCCTTTTTTAAAAAAATTTTTAAAGATTGTTTTAATTTATTTGACAGAGAGAAAGAGAGAGAGATCACAATCGGCAGAGAGGCAGGCAGAAAGAGATGGGGAAGCAGGCTCCCTGCTGAGGAGAGAGCCTGATGCGGGGCTCGTTCCCAGGACCTCGATCCCAGGATCATGACCTGAGCTGAAGGCAGAGGCTTTAACCCACTGAGCCACCCAGGTGCCCCAAAGAGTAGCTACATTATTCTGTTTTGTCTTCTTAAAGCAGAGGACAAAAAATCAGTTTTGTTCAGAGATAGCCAGTCTAGTTTATGCTGGTTAAGTTACTAAGGTAATTGCCTAAATGTCTTACAGAATTTGCTGTCATTTTATAGTTTAATGCTTCTCAAGACAACTTCTGGATAGACACATACTTTAATATTTAGTAAAGGAGAGGCTTTTAATGTAAAAACATTGGTTATAATTCATATGAACTACACTGGTGGATGGATTATTTGGCCTTGTACAAAAAGCTGGGCTTATAAGCATGGTAAATAGGAGTTCCATATTATAGCATACTTTTCTACTGTTGTATCTTATTGAAAAAAAAAATGTTTAAGCATATAGTAGTACTCCCTTATCCATG